CCAAAGGCCATTATTGCAGTATTAAACTTTAAGTTTGAGAACTATCTTTATAAATCTTTCAGAATATATGTAAAATTAGTAGCTGAACAAATTTACATAAGACGCCAATGTTAGTTATCTTAATAAATAACCAGATATTAATAATTTTAGTACTGATGAATTTTTAGTTATTTTTATATAAAAATGATTTATGAAAAGAGTTTTTTATTTTTATTTTCCTGATTTTTATTTTTATAAATAAATAATATAAAATAGTAATAGTAAACAAGAACTAGTTTAAAAAACCTGTTTTAATATCTTAAAAAAAAAGAAAAAAAAACAAAAAATAACATAGAGTTTGTTAAAAGCATTTTTTCTTTTAGTTGAAATATAAAATACAAATAAAAAATTTAGTATTTTTTCTTAAAATTTTTTAGAAATTTTAAGAAATTGTTTGAGTTTTTTTAAGCTAATCAAATTAGTTTATACAAAAAATATATAAATAACAAAGTAAACAAACAATAAATTATATTTCCTTTTGAGTAAATAAACAAAAGTTTAAAATAAACAACAGTTATATAACAAATAACAACAAAAAAAAGCATATAGCTTTTTTTTAGAAAAATTAAAAATAATATTATTAGTAGATATTAATTAATTTTCAATTTAAACTTGATTTAAAGATAAGCAAATTAAACAAGTAGAAGTTATTTAAATTTATTTGAAAATCAAGTAAATGAAAAAATCTTAGCTATTTAAATAGTAATATATACTGTAGATTAAAGTACTTAATGATACAATATTATACAGTTCAAGCAATATAGAAAAGATAATATACAGTATAATAATTAGTAATTCAAATAAGATTATAAAATAAGACCTGTTAATTTATAATCAAATGCTTAAAATACTAAAACAAATCAAAACTAAAAATCTTGAAAAAATATTAATTAAGAAATAGACAATGAAAGCAAAAATAATACAATATAATCTAAGCTTAATTAACTATATAATTAATATAAATAGTTTAGAAGTATTGAAAAAAAAACAAATGAAAGTAAAAAAAATATAAATATCAAGATTTAGCAAACTGGTCAAAAAAGTAAAAACAAAAAAAAAACAACAAGTGAATAATAAAAGAAAAGAGTCAAAATATTATTGATAATATTAAAGACCTTATTATTACTATAAAAGACTACATATCAAATTAAAACTACTTATCAACAAATCTAAAAAAATTAATAATCAAGATTAGAAAAGTCAAAAACAAAAGTGAAGAATCTAAAATGTGTCTAAAGACAGAATATATAGAATCAAACCAAAATATTTTCAAACTTTATATTAAGAAAAAAGATATTAAAGATCAAGAAATGAATTCAAAAAAAACAAATTATTTTAGCACTATTAGAACATAATCTTTTGTTACTACAGAATAAAATATGTAATAAAAATAACTTATTCAAAGCAAAAATCTCAATATATAAGATTTTAGATAATATAAAAGAATATAGAATTAACTATATGAAATAAGTACTTAGAAATAACAGATACATCAAAGTGATAGAAGAAAGTTTTCAGAATAGAAATAATTAGATTAAAGTATAAATTGGAAATTCTATATCACTTCTTGAAATAATAATAAGTCTCCTAGAACCCATGTGAATTTCGCATATATATCCATATTTTAACTGAACGTATTTAGAAAGATTTAATTTGTATCTAAACAATTCCCCAAAAAAGGGAACTGGGAATAGCCCAGTGAGCTTATTTTTCATGAAGTATCGATAATATTAGAGATTGGAACTCGCGAGATTTTTTTTGGATACTGTGTGGGATACGTAGTATAATATGAATGCTACTAGTAGGACCGAAATGTTTCGATAAATTTTGATCGTTATTCCGCAATATTCTGAAAACAAAGAAATTTGAAACTAGTTGATTGATTATCTATCCACGAATCCCGCGCAGGATTTTTGGGAATCCGTGATTTGGCCATCACTAATAATAGTATTTAATTATGTAGAAGTATAGCAGAATGAAAACTAAGTGTGGAATATCAGAGAATATTTCTGTAGCAGTTATGTTTCCAAAACTTATATTAAATACAGAATGCAATTTTTTTTAGAATTTAAGATTCACAAACTTGTAATTATGATCGTTACCCTATTTATGCTAACGCCACATTAGATTACCAATAATAATAAATTACTATACGCTATAGAGGCCCCATTTAACGAAATAAATACATTCAACAACAAAAATCATTATTTCAAATTTATTGGAAAATGTAATAAAGTTGCATTTGAATATAAATACGTAATCTATTTCTGTATTATAATTCCTTTTAGGCCTTATACGTACGTACTAATCGTTGAATAATGAATTAAATTGTTCATTGAATAATCCTTTATTGAATAGCGGGTCAAATACTTTAATAAGTGTTATATCCCCGTCGGGTTTCGCATATTAGTATGTTTTTAATAGTTTTTACAAATAAAAAATTAAGATTAGATATGGTGACCAAAATTTAAAAATTATTAATGATCATTCATTAAATTTGATTATCTCGTCGAAACAAAACAAAGCGAAGAAAAGAGAAAAATACAAAAAATGATCTCGATCGTCTTTTCTTTCATTCATCCAACAGACTAAATTATTTCCCACCAATAATTTAAGTGCTTGAGATTAGGTATGTAAAATTGAATGCTGAAAATCATTTTTGCGGCCCGGCCCGGACTAATGCAGAATGCATCTATTTGCGCATCAACACATTTTTCAATTTTTTTAAGAATTAGGGTTAGTGTAACCATATTAAGGTTAATATAAGTGGTTTTTATAAGTAAATTTGCCTTACCGACATTTTTAATTAACTCCACGCGGGTTTTCGTCGGGATGATCAAAATTTCTCTATTTGATTGGTCGATCATCACGTGTTGATGCGCAAATAGATAAAAATCCCGGTATTAATAAAAGGCTAAAGTTATAGGCAAAAATATCTTCGTAACTATATAAACCTTTTTACATAATTTATACCTGATAAATAATCAGGATGACATTGTTGCGATTCTACTACCTTTAGAATCACAAAAACTTCATATGAGTGTGCACATGCTATCGGACATTCAATTATATTTCGTGTACAGTTAGCCGTCTGTAGAAAATCTATCATCATGATAGATTTTCCATAGTATATGTAATGTAATTAAATGTCCGATGACAGGTTTTCCCTTGGGCGCACTCATATACAACTTTCATTAGATGTTCATTTTGCAACTTTCATTCGATGCTTTATCCCAACAGCTTGTATTTAGGTCTAACTGTATATACTATATGCCGAATTAAAGTCAGCGTTAGATCAAAATGCAAATATTGTGCTTCATTAATTAAAAGTTTATAAAGAATAAGGATATAGATGAACATATTCCCCTATGATCTTTCGTTCCAATCTCAAGCTTGAATGCATTCAAATGTTAGATTCACTCAATGTATTTAAATATTTGATTCACTCAATACATTTTAATATCTGATTCATAATGACGAATAATGGATTGGATCTCTTAGTATAGGTGACACTATTCACAAATCAATTATCCATTTCAGATATATGTTTTATAATTGAATGTCGATATATATGAGCGTATGAGAGTTAAAATCAGGAAATACATTCAATTATTTATTATGATAGGTTACTGATTTTACTCATATAGACTAGGCACTAAGAAAGAGGTCCAAATTAACAAAAAAAAAACAAATTTTACGAATATTATTTTGTTTTTATTATAAAATCCAAATTAGATTATAAGAAAATCCAATTTTTAGAAGGTTATACTGTAAAATTTTATTGATATACACTTATTTGCATAAGAAACCACCTTTTACGTTCTAATAAAAAAAATTCTTCTTGAAATTTTAGCATACATTAAACCTTCTAATCCCAATCCCAACCCTAACACCGTGACTTTCACGCATTATTTATGCCAAAAAAAAACAATATTGGGTTTTTTCCTTTTTTGGGATTTTATCACCGGCACAAATAAGTAAATCCGTCACAACATATACCTTTTATAATATTACATTAAAGTTGATCAAGGATTCTTAATTTGTACTCCTGTTCTGGCAGAAAAAATTCGCGATCAGGTGATTGTGACCCAATCAACAATCAATGATTTAACATTAACGTTAATAATACAGTAATATATAAACTTGTATGTTGATAGGTTCCAAACGATCAGAAATCACCCGATCTGAATTTGTTTCTGCAACTATGTTATCTGTTCATACACATGAAGTGATCCATTGCGTAACTATGTAACTAATTATTTTTTTTTTTGAGATAAATTTCGCTAAAAAATTTTAGCGTGCAAATTTGCACGCTAAACCTGACGGTTTACGGGATACTATTGTAAGTCCTCATCTTCGAAAACGTATAAAAGACCTCGACCTCGCCTTTTTCCTTGTAGAGAGGAGACTTAGACCTATTTTTATATAACTTGAATTCTCCCCAGTTTCTTTATTATATCATATTTAATTTTTTAAAAAATAAAGCTATCCCGTGTCTTCATACACGTTAAATTTTAAATTATTTGCATTAAGATAGTGTTCACGCGATATCGTGAAGGGAAATATCGACCTGTTTAATAAACTGCCGTACGTCTTCTTGTATCTTCATATACATTTAACCGTTCGCCTCTTTCATAATTGCAAATCATTATAAAGCCTCTTGGACATCAATACAAGGTATTGGCATAAACTATCTACATACTGGACATGACGGCCGTAAGACATTCAATTATCATCATCTATACTTACTAAGGTCTAAAGTTAACTCGCGCTTAAAAAGAGGCAGTTCTGGTGTAACAGTATATCCAATTTATTTTGCATGAACGAATCTCTTGCAAATAGTTGACCCTACTTATAATCAATTGATTAAATAAAATTTTTTATTTAAAGAGTCACCTATATTACAAGTGAGCCGCATAAACTTTTTGAACACAAACTACATTTGTTAAAATACAACGATAATGGAAATCGTAATTTTTGCTGGAATAATTATATCTTTATATATTTCATACTTTTATTTTCATTATTTTACTCGGCCTAACCCTCTTCCTGGACCATTTCCATTCCCATTTATTGGTACACTTTTTCAAATTGGGGTGGACCCTTGTAAATGGGGAGAAAAAAATTTGAATGATTCTATAGATCTTTGGGAATTTTACGTTGGCCCTTTTCGGGTTATAACCATTCGCGACGCAAAATATCTTGATAAAATTTATTTGTCATATAATGAAGCAAAGAATTTATCTAAAGAATCAAAATTTTTCAAACGAAACACTGCTGCTTATGATGAGGTTGGAATATTAAATGGTATAGTACTTAATAGTGTATATCATAAATGGAAACGAAGTCGACAATTTGTTACTAAAGTTTTAATGTCGAAAAAATATCATTATGGATTCATAAATAGTGTTCAAAATATATTTAAAGAGTATGAAGTATATTGGGATGAAAATAAAGAAGTAACTTTAGATTTTTCAACATGGGTTTATAATTATAAAGCACAAGTATCAGTCATGACAGTTATTGGACAACAACTATATAACTTGCCTTCATTGGACTTAATTTCTAAAGCAGCATCAGAATATATTGCAATGTTTGCATTCTTAGTCTTTGTACCAAAAATTGTTAGTAGAATTCTTATGTTAATTGGATTTAATACTATGAAGAAGAGGTCTATTTTCTTGAATGGTACAATTAAAAATGTTGTTCAAAAACGTAGGGAAGAGATTGAAAATGGATCACCGACAAATTTTAATTTATTGGATTTATTGTTGACATCAAATTTATTGAATGATTCAGAAAGTATCAAAGGTGAAGAACCATTTACTAATGAAGAAGTTGTGACCAATCTTGCCGAAATTACAGCTACTTCAATTGAGACGGTGTGTATAAAGTTTTTAATTTATCAAAATAAAAAAAATGGATTCGATACTGACCTAATGTTTTTATAATAGACTAGCTCTGCCCTTTGTTTTCTTGTCTATAATGTTGCCCAAAACCCATCAGTTATTGAAAAAATTCGAGCAGAAATTCTTAAAGTATTTGGACCAGATACAAATACAATAATCACTTATGAAACACTTGGACGTTGTCATTATATTGAAGCAGCGATCAAAGAAGCTTTACGCATTACAAGTCCAGTTCCGTACAATTTACGTATTCTTGATGGTGAAGAAAGTGTAGGTAAATTTCATTGGCCATCTGGAACATGGTTTTGGATTAATCATCATCGAATTATGAATGATCCTAATAATTTTAATGAACCGAAAAAGTTTAATCCTGATCGATTTCTCGATGAAGAATATGGAGGCACAGGTGAATTTAAAAATATACCTAAGAATGTATATGCACCTTTCGGTGGAGGTTTAAGAATTTGTCCAGGAAAAAATATTGCGTTAATAGAGCTTAAGTTAATCACAGTCTTGCTTTTTAGAAAATATAATATTAATTTGGTAAATGGAAGTGAATCAATTAAATATGGTTATAGGTCCGCTCAACAAGTTTATAGTCTAATGATCAGATTATCCAAAAAATAATCAAACTTCAAATTTTTTTTTTGGGTTTAAAGATGGTTGCTACTGTAATTACAGAATTAGCAATTTTGTAAAAGTTAAAATCTTATATGATTTCTTATTACTTTTTTTATTTTTATTATTTTATTTTATTTTTCTTTATTGTAAATTCGTCTCTCTGATCAACCCGTATTGCGTAAACGAAAATTAAATATAATAAATTTAAATATATGCACTAAACGTTCTTTAATATGATGGGTTGAACGTTTTCGAACATTAGAGCTCTTATCGACTTGAATACTCGGCACCCGAAATTCATACTGTGAGCCGCAGGACTGTAATCCCGGAAAGGGATCTTTCACGAATTTCCTTATGCAAAGAAAATCCCGAGCTGCCGGCCAAAAAGATATGGGTCGTAGTATATCAAAGACTCTTCGTATATCTAACATTAATAATCGTGTCCTATAAGTAAAATTTCGTTCTGAAAACTTTTACTGGAGGTCGGAAGTTAGTCATCATAGTAAATTTTTGTGTTATTTCACGAGATCCTGCGATTTTATTGGATCCGGATAGGGTCGGAGTGATCTTCAGCCCGGGATTTTCTTGAAATAAGGGTATTGACACGGATATGTCGTGTAACCTACGAACGGCTTAGTCGATAAGAGGCGTGTTAGATTTGTCGAGTTGGTTATTTATGATCGTAGGTATTATAATGTAGCGAAGGCAGGGAAGTATTAGGGTCAAATTTTATTATAAGCGCGAACTATTATTCTCGTAGGGTTCGAATAGTGATGGGAAAAATGCGCATTTTAAAATAACATGCGCATGATACATAAAATGCGCATGATACCGCATGATAACAAATCAAAAAATTTTTTATCTTTATTATTTGCTTTGTATATAAATAAAGATAATTCATAATCAGATTTTGCCAAAATACATAAATTTTTACTTAAAATTTGCTGTAATAGTTAGTTTGGGTTTATATGATTTTCTCGATGATCATTTTCCCAATACCTAACTATAAATCTAGCTAACTCAAACTCTAAATCGGACCCAATTCAGTTTGCCAAAACTTATAAATCTTATTATTTTTTTAATTTTTTTAATTTTTTTATTTTAAATTTTTGTTTATTTTATATATATATTTTTTTGTATTTTGGATTTATTTAAAATTTACTAATGATCAATTTCACTAGTGATTGTCTATGCATAATTAAATCAAACTAATCTTTATAAATCAAAAATAAACTTATTAATTATTATAGTTAAATTAATGTAGGTTAGGATAAGAATGTTATTTATAGTAAAATTTTGCAAGGAATTTTTTTTACTAGAGCATCAAAGGTGGTTTCATATATAAAATTTTGAGCTATTGATTATTTTTTAAAAGTTCTTTATTTTTGTTATACAAAATTATTTTATATATTACATCTGATCTTTAATTCTGATTGGCTAATAAAATTTACTACTGTTGAGCATTAAACTTATCCTTATATTTTTTAATTTTTAATTTTTTTTGAGTTTAAATTTATTATTTTTTTTAAATTTTATTTATAGAATTTATTAAGTTAAGTATAGGTATTACAGAATATGTGTAATATTATAAGATATAGCAGTCCAAATTGATGGTAGTAAGATTATTTGATTCTAATTACTATATCTTAAGATAGCATTATCTAAACAAAATAATTAATTTTTTTTGCTTAAGAATTTTAGAAAAGTTAATTATAATACATTAATAACAAATTGTTTTATTAAGTAAATTGATATTTGTTAATTAAGAAAAACATGTTCACAGTGATAATATTTATATATTTTTAAATTTTTATAAAAATCAGATTACTTTTAATTAATTAATATATATAAAAAATATTTTTATATCTTATATATTTTTTCAATATATAACTATAATTTAGAAATATTAATTAATAAAATACTTTTTAATTTTTATAAAAATTTAATAATATATATAATTTATTATTATAAACAAGCTTTTAATAAAAAAAGTTGATTTACTTAATAAAAATTTGCTAATATATAATATATTATAGTTATTTTTTTAAATTATAGATTTTTGTATTGAATTAGATATATCTACTATCTTATAATTAAAATTGAATAATTTTATTATCATTTAATTTATTTTACTAAGATGAATTAAATAGTAGTAAAATTATTTAATTTAGATCTATATATTATAAAATATTACATATAGGGTCTTTGCCTTGAAAATGATCTTACAAGACATAGTAAATCATATGATCCAAACTTGATTTTCAAGACAAAGACCCCATATGTGTCATAATTGATATATGCATCATAATTTATTTTTTTAATATTTATTTTAATTGGTAATATCTTGTAATCTAATAATCAATATTGAATAATTTTAATGCTATTTAATTTTTATAACAAGACAAATCAAATAGTATTTAAATTGTTAAATTCTAATTAATATATCACATATTATCAATAGTAATACTTACTTTAGCATACTTAATTTATATACAATTAATTAAAATATTAATTATATTATTTTTTATATTATAAATTTTTTATATAATATTTTAATAGACAAAAATGTATATAATTTAAAAACATATATATAATTCAAAAACATGTACATTGATGTATATGATTCAAATTTAATATATATATATTATATCTATCTCTAGGCTTAAAGCCTTTATAATATACTTTTTTTTATATAAAGCATATTATACACTCTATTCATAATATTACACTTATATTTTTTATCTAGCTTATACTAATTATAATATTTTTATTTTTTTTTATTGATATAATATCAAATAGAAAAAATTATAATATATAAATATATTGATTAGATATAATTTAGAACTAAAAAAATTATTTCTAAACTATATTATTATTGCTATATATATTTAATTATATCTAGTGTAATATTATTTTCTTATTTTTTTTTTAACTTAAAATTTTTATTTTTGAAATATAACAATTTTATTTAAGTTTATAGAATACAGATGACTCCATAAGCTTTCTTATATTAGAAGTTACAATTAGTTATATATATAATTTGATATCTAATTTTAATAGTCTATTTGTATATTATCATATAAGTTTTATACTAGATGTCATATCTATAAGTCAGCTAGAATTTTGCTTATTTAAACCTTCTGCATATACAATTTATCTTGAATTATAAGAACATCTTCAAAGCACTAATTATCTAAGTTTCTAATACTTATCAGTATCTTTAGAACTATTTTATTCTTAATATAAAATTTACTAAAGTCTGCTATATTCTATATGCAGCTAATTTAGTTTTATGCAATATGCTATAGTTATTTAACACTTACAATTATAAGTGATATCTGTTTAATTACTACATTATACTATTTCTATTTTTGTAAAGTTTACTTGAATTTTAGTATTCATCTTTTTGGCATCTTTTTTATTATTCTCTATTAACTGTATTTGAAATCAACAAACTTTGGTCAAACTACCAATTCAGATAACCCAGTATAGTATACTTTTGTATTTTTTTTTTGTGAGTTTAGTAACTAATTAGTTATATGTTTCTCTATATATATTTGTTATTTAGTTTATTCAATTTGTTTTTATAAAAATGTTTTATAGGTTTTGACTAGTCTGATAGTGTCATTAAAAGTACATGCTACTTCTTTACTTAAGAATTTTTAAGTAGATTTTATCATTTCAGTTTTTTAGTTTTTTATGTCTATTGGTCTTATTATGAATTTGTACTAAAACTTTATATAATACTAATTATTAATATTTATATAATATTACAATTTATGACAAAAAAAAAAAACTCTTTCTGCAAATCCATTGCACAAAAATTAACTAAAAAATTCGTTTATCAAAAAACACTTATAACTTTTTATTATACTAAGAAAACCTATCTTGGGCTTCTAAGTAAACTTGTTCAGCACATCATTTTACATATAATCTGCAAATACTAAGTCTTTATACTTCAAACTCATCGAGAAAATCGTACTGACGGCCTTTGGCCTCCAGTTGATAACGTTTAGCTATTCTGCAGTTTCTACTGCCTTAACCTGTCCTATACTCTTAATTAAAGTTGTAGTATACACTTACCCGGTCAGAACAAGCTCTAAACGAAGATTTTTGACCCAATATTGACTAAACTACAACTAAATTCAACATTTACTCTCTTGTAAAA